CTGTACTTGATTATTATTATTGCATTAATTTCGATCGCTATTCGACAACGGACGGCCGATATTTGCGCGATCGCGTTATCCTGACGAAAATCAATCAGAATCGGAGCAGGAGGTTAACTACCGTAGAACCGCCGTAGGTGCCAATTCGGCTCCTGTGTTTATTTTCGGCTTATTACAGAGAATTATTCGGATTTTGCCTGCATTATTTAAAGTAACTTTCACATTTAAAATGATAAAAGATCAGGGGAAACTATCAATCGATACGAAATTTTACGGGAATTTGAGCAATTTCAAAAGTTACCGGAGCGAACGGCATCACCGGCAGTTCGAGTGTTAACAAACCACGTGCAGTTTACCGGATCTGTCGCAAGATGCATCTCGCGTGTAAAGGTCGCTCACAGGGCGCTGAGGGTGAAAAGAACGCGCGGCGGGACTTTGCAATTCCGATGATCGCGGTCGTTCGAGTGGCGGACTTTGATTCGGCCGAAGCGCGCTCGCGGATGGTTTCGTCGCGCTTTCGATCCGCCCGCAACGGAAACGCCGAAGTCGAGCCGGAATTACACCGGATAGCCGGCGCGCGTCTGTCCGGCGCGTAAATATCGCGGGGCCCGTCATTGTCGGAGCGACGCGTCCGCTTTCGCAAATCGTGCCGATCGTATTTAACAAAAATGGCTTTATTCGCGTCGATTGCGCCGTTTAATACGCTTCCGCGCGGCAATATCCGCGGAAGGGTTTTGCTCTCCGATGATATTTGAAGGGATTATCTTTTCATTCGGTTAAATCGATGTAATTTTATTGCAATCAAAGCTGCTCGTTGGGGCTAAAAAAAAACGATGTTATCTTTTAATACGAGATCAATATGGACGCGTTGCCATNGCTCCCCACCGCCGACATCTTGATTAAAGTTCGTAACTGTGTTTTCGAGCCAGCTAAAAAACCGATTTCTATAGGACTTCAATTAAAATCGTAACTGCTACTTGCCGGGAATTAGTAACTGGTAATCTGTAAACGATATCAATACAAATCGGGCTCTCTCACGTAAATGTGCCGGGCCAAACTAGCGATTATCGTTATAATTGGACATTCACACTTGTACTTCCGCCGTTGTTCTCTCGATATTCTCAACGGGTCCCGGATCTGTGCAATCGTGGGAACCTGAACTTCATTCATTTTGACGTCATCTCGGACAATAGCGCGCGTGCGATATCTTAGTGTAGGAAGAAGCATTTGAATAATTCCACCGGTCTCGAAAACGGTCGAAGTGATTGTCGAGGAAACACCGTTTTTAATAGCGTCGCTTGCAGAAGCGGTTAATCTCGAAAGTTAGACGTCACGACGGCACCTAATTTTACCGTCATTTAGACATCTTCAACTGCGGAATATTAAGATTAATCTTTATGCGGGCGGTCGAATTATCGCAATTTACCGGGAGCCCCGACGTTAAAGGCTAAGAGTATTCAAATTCACATTTCTCTTCGTTATGCCGCTCTCGATGCGATGGATCCCCCTCCCCCCCCCCCCCCCCGACTTCCTTCACTCGCAACACGGGCAAGACGAGTTGTTAAAACTTTGTTATAAATTTCCAAGTTGGCGAAAGCGGCAAAGACGATGAGATGATGGCGTCGGGCAAAAAGAACAAGCGTAATCGCCTTTCATCAGAAAGAAGCTCTAATACTTGCTAATTATAGGAAGGAAATAAAAATTATTCCTTTGATTTATTACTCGCGCAACTCGTGTATACACGCGATTCTTCGCTCGAAACGAACAAAAAGATCTATGGGGGGTAAAATTGCGAACAAGTTGGAATACTGTCTGCGGATCGCTAGTGACGTCTCGCTGAAAGTTGCGAAATGAGACGGAAGTGGAGAGGAGGTGAATTGCAACAACATGCGATTGCGTGTTGCAACTTTTTCGAGCGTTTACGCGAGTCTCTTTGGTGAATTCTAAAATATAAGAGCCCGTATATATCGTGCCTGACTATATGTTTCTCTCTTTCTCTCTATATATACTTGACAGTATATTTCGGAAAACGGCACATTTCGGAAAAATAATTTTCCGCACGACAATCACAGGTCACCGCTAATTTACGCACTTTTTCAGACGGCCTATTTATTACAGGTTCATTAAACCGCTTTTCTCCCTAAAATCTCGAAGTATTAATAATAAATGTTCCGTAGTCGATACAGAATGGGCCGACTTTATTTACTGGTTTCATAAAATATACTACCGCCATCATATTGGCTTCCGCCGCTCGCGGAAATGAGCGCCTTTATGAAAGTATAAAAATCCATCGTCCCAATTGATGCCGGGGCGAGCGAGGCAATTTCGTGCTGCGTGGCGCATTCCCTTTTTTCAAAGGAGATTGCCGGTACGTCGAGTGTTTCGTTAAATTAGCTTTCTTTACGAATAATTAGTCGTAAGAAGCGGTGCTACCGAGCATAAAAAAATACGAGGTCTTGAGAAAGAGAGAGAGAGAGAGAGAAAAAGGGGGAAAAGTTAAACGTCGGTACGTAGAGTAACGCGGAACGCGAAAGTAACGCAACGGGAACGAGAATCGCAAGTATTGCGCCCCTCAAAAGAAGCCCACGGAAACTTAGAACCGCCGTCATGTCGGTCTACATTTTTCAGGATGCCTTTCAAACGAAAATTAAGCAGGAAAAAGCTTTCTCAACTTCCCCGGGTCTTATTTCTGGTAAATACGGAAATTCGCGTCTTTTTGCCATCAAGAGTCTTATCCGGAGCTCTTCGCGCTGAATGAAAAATGCTTCGAAACGTGACGCCGCCAACCCGCGAGCTTAAATTGTTTACAAGGCCATCCGAGATTTCCTGCGAGAACGTTGCAGAATCTCATTGACCGAGGCGCCGCGTTCGCTCTTATGTATATCCCGACTATCTCCACGATATTATATGCAAGAACGATAAGATTGTCGCCCCGAAGACGGATGGAGATAGAATTTTTATCCCTTCGCATGCTGGCGAGCGTTCATTCGGCTTTCACCGCATTCGACGTTCGAGTTTACGCGACCACCACCACCCGCACATTTACCGTTAATATTTTCTTCCTTCCCTTACATCTCTGCGAGCACACTCCATTCTTATATTGCGCACGATCTCGCGTGGCGCCGCGTGTTTCTTGCTCATTTCTTGAGGACTTTGTGTAACATGTGCACTATATTAAAGACGGCCTTCTTATTCGGGCGAACTCATTTCGCGTGTGAGTTGCGCGAATAAAATATTATTTATTTACTTCGTCGCCGCTTACACGTCGGCGTTTCGCACGGTGTGTCGTAGATATTAAATTTATACGAGGCGACTGAAATACGTCGGTATTCATAAATTTGTTTTATGCACATATATGTACGCATATAAGGTGTCCCGTTTTGATGGAAACAGTGGAATATCTTGAAAACAAAGCAATTGACAAAAAAAATAGTGCAGATAAATAATTATAGGATTTGGAGGGGAACGTAAGTTGATGACCTTAACTTTGTTATAATCAATAATTGAAGACCGCTGCAAGATCTTTTTTTTTTTTTAAATAGAATCATATAGTTTTTTAACACAAATCGATTCCTCTGTTTATTCTGCGTATAAAAGTACTGGAATAAAATCATCGAAGAGTGAATATTTTTCCAGATATTTTATGTGTATATTTTCTATTTCTACATTTACATACTTTATACTTGTCAATACAAAATCTGAGATAGCTCATAAAGTATTCACTTTTCGATAACATCACCTGGACACTTTTGTACGTAGAACGACAGGTAGAATCGATCGCTGTGAGCAAACATAGGGAAATCCTTAAAAAAAATGTTACAAGCACTCTGCAAATGCATCGATGCACCGATGCGCGATGATTAGTATCAAAAATCGATTTCTCACATATTATTACGTAGAAAAGTGTTCAAGCGCTGTTATCGAAGAGTGAATGTATATCTCATAACTGTTGCATCTCTCTTTCAATCTTCTCGCATTATCGATCACGTGAATATTATCGCGCATTATCGGGGAGGAAATGAACGAGAACGGCGCAATGACATATTAATTATTTCATTGTGCATAAAATATGTACGGCACAGCGCGCAATATCATAATCCGACTGACAAAGCTCTCGGGAAAGAGCCGATAATCCTCGCTCGCCTCGAAAGAATCGAAAATCCTCGCGTTATCGGCAAATAGGCCGCGGACACACGCGCGGCGAATCCTATATATTCGCGACGAAAAAGAGAGAGAAGTAGACAACCAAGCGATCTTATGCATATGAACGTGCTTTCGTTCAGCGGTAGTGGAAACGTGGACGTGCGCTGACAGTGCTAGAAAGTGGCACATTATCTAAAATATCGTCTGCGCGAAACACTCGTGTTTCCGATGCCGCCGAGGGAGGGGAGGGAGCGTGACACCCTCGTGCGGAATTCTGCTCCCATTCGCGGCTCGTCTCGACGGAGTTACAACGTTAATAAGAGAGCTTCATCCCGCACGAAGGAGCTTTCCCTGCCTTCTCTCCGCTCCGCCGGCGGTTTAATACGAACACGCCATCCGGCGACTCCTTCTGCGGCTTAATAGGTCGAATCGTCGATAATCCGCCCCGGTGTAACGGAGTTTCAGCGAAAAACACGGGGCGCGTGGTTGGCTGTTCGCGAGGGTTCGAGAGAGTGCGGGAAAGTCAGAGGGGGTGCGCCGTGTAGAGATTACGCGGAAACCGTGAGAGTACCGAAACGAACGCGGGGTCGCGCTTAATACACGCGTGGTGGATGTTGTATGCTCTCTCGACGTCGGACGTGAGAGAGCTCGCGCGTGTATCGCGGTCGGGAAACCCGCTGGAGGATGAAACGCGGGCACGTGAGAGTGTTGAGCGAGCGAGGGAGGGAAATTGTCATTCGGCGGAATTGCAATTTCTCGCTGACGCACGCTGTGCAACCTCTCGCGCGACGAGCAAAAGCGGACTAATGATGCGCACTAGACTTAATGCCCCGTTCCTGTTCTCATTTTCCTCAAAGGTGGGAGCTGCCTGCGAGAGGTCAGTCTGGAACTAGTCCCGGATGTGGTGCAGCGCGGCCAGGAGGTGATTCTACGGTGCCATTATGATCTGGAGAATGCGCCGCTCTACTCCCTCAAGTGGTACCGCGGCAGGTACGAGTTCTACCGGTTCTCGCCCAGCGACGACCCCGCCACGAAGGTCTTCAACATCACCGGGATTTATGTCGACGTAAGTCGCTCTCGCTCGTTGTCACTTAACAAGATTGCGCGTCCCGCCGACTTTTTTCCGCTTTCATTCAGATTGGATTCCTCTCTCGCTGATGTAATGTATTTTCTATACAGTAGTCGATAATGTTACCGTCTCCGAGCGCGTGCGCTCGGACTCGGTGGTTTTCCACTCGCGGCTTCTCTCACGCGCGCGCTCCTGAAAAAGTAGCGCGAAGCGGGACAATCTAATTTCTTCTCTGTTTTTGTCGCGCTCACGCGCGTCCACGGGCTTACCCTGGGAAATATCAATGTCGAACGGCCACCGCTTACACCGTTCCCAGCGTTTCCACCTGGCCGTGGGAGAAAATCATTTCGAGTATTACGCTGGTTTTTGTTCGAAGACGAAGACAGCCCGCGCGATGATAACGTAATGTAACGGCGGGTCGATGAAGGGAAGAGACGGAGGTGCGCCCCAGGTGTGCGACCGAGTCGTACCGTTTGCACCCCCGCAATTCCGCAACTGCGACGATGCGCCGTCTCCCTTAATCGGAGCATCCTCATGACCGATAACGTTCAGCTTATCTTACGGGAATACGCTAAAGCGTGCCCGGGGAATCGCGATCTGCGCAGTTTGCTCGCTATTCTGTAACCGTCGAGCGAATGTGGCTCTAATTTTCGCATCGTCGAAACTGCTTTACGCTCGCGAGGTTCGCGCAGGTAAATATTGGATGTCGCTTAAAGAGCTCAAAAAAGAATTTCACATTTCAGAGTACACACGCGGTGGCGGTAGCGACTGCATTTAATCCTATCAATTTGCGCTCGATATCGATATTGCGAAAAAGCTTTGCAGAAAACTATTTTCATCCTACATAAGGGAGCCCGAAAGATATTTGAAAATGTTGCAGGCATTGCTTTATCCTCCGAGTGTGCAAGCGATGTTTTATATTCGTATTTTGTTGATCGATTATATAAATAAAACGAATTTGGTTCCCGTAAAAACGGCGCAAGGTATTCACGATTAATAAACTTTGTCAGAACGATTCCCTTAGTAATGCCACCTGTAGTATGAAAATTAACTTAATTTGCGCACATCGTTTATTTAAATTTTAATAAAATTCTCCTCCAAGAACGCACTTAACTGTACGTAATTTAGAATGTTTTACGGCTTTTTTACCAAGTAGAAAGCTTTGCCCGCACGTTTGAATATAATTCTTCGTGCCAAGTAAAAATCGTAACGTTTTTCAACGTTGAGTATGAATAGAATTCATTAACGCGAATATTTCAATAAAGCGAGCGAATTCCAAATGGCGGCAGATATTTGCCATTTAATGAGCCTTAATAAAATATAGAACGAACCATTTCTGCGCAGATAATAATATATTGGTATATAATTATCGGGAATGAAAATTGAAAGTGGATAAAAGCAATAATTATACATAGGAAATGCGGTGAAATAAAATAACTTAATCCAAGTAAAGGCAACGCGTATAATCCGTTATTAACATAAATATATATGTCACGTGAATATTTATTAGAATATTTATTATATTTAGAAGCGAAGATTCATGGTTCAGTTATTCAGTTCTTTCTTGCGACCGGGGGATAATAGCCTGTACAGAATCGTGTCCAAGTTCGACAGAATTTCAACAGTCAACGTGTTATAATTTAGGTGTTTGCAAAAGTTCATGAAGTTACAAATGGATGGCTGTAGCAGCGATTTGGTAATTGTTTTCCTTTAAATTGCTTTTTAGTTTTCAAATATTGACCATATTGGATCATATTGAATCTATTACCATTGGGGCATGCAGTCACAGGATATCGCTATAGTCAACAATCACGGCCTTTGAAGCAAGCCGTGAAGGAAAAACATCCTCAAATATCCGCGAATCGACGCCAAGTCATCCTGCTTTACGACAACTTCCAGGCCGCATGTTGCTGTTGCAACTAAAGAGACGTTGTCCAAATTAGATTGGGGAGTCCTGCCGCATCTAGCGGACTCTCCGGACACCGCCCCATCTGATTTGCATCTATTCAGATCGGTACAATACGGTATATCAGATACACGGTACCGGAATACCGAGGGAGTGCAGAAATGGCTCGACGAACGGGTTATCTCGAAAAAGTAATTACTTTATCGGCGCGGGATCAAACTGTCCGAAAGATAACGAAAGGTTATCAATAGCGACGGCCAATACTACGATTAAAATATCATATGTCGTTTCATTGTTATTAATAAAAGAAAATGGCTACCTAACAAGATCCGAACTTCAACTCTCGGATGATCAAATGGGATCAGATTCGTATTTTCGCTCGATTTCAATCGGTCGTGATAGCTTCAGCTGCAGGAAAGTGCAACGGGGTATTCTCCAGTCGTGATCGGCCGGCGTGCTCGAAATCAGTCGCGCCGATAAATCTCTCCCTATATTTTTGTCCTCCCCTCACGGCTTTATCGGCTATGACACGGCTATATATAATAATCCTATCCCTTTAAGCACTGAGCACTCGCGTCGTTAAACGAAAAAGAATAAAAGGGGGATATCATCCGAACGGCCGGGGTGGCGGGGTATTTCGCAACTGGGACAGCCCCTACATAAGCCGACGCTATGAAGCTACCCCGCTGGTATTCTTTCGAGCGCGAGCGCCACCGCGGCAACGGCGGAATCGACGGGCTCGAGCGGACAACGAGATATGTGGTTTCACCGTATCACCGTAACGCAAACCGCAACGCCGGCCCGGTGCCTCGTTAACAGCACCCTTGACCGCTGTAATCGTCGTAAAACAGTCGGCGCTCGGGCGCTTTTATCATCGCTCCGACATTTCCGTAGGCTGTTACGCGCGTTGGGCACGTCGGTGGTTTTCGGGGGTGGCGTCGCGACCGCCAATCGAGCCCGCGTCGTGCCTGCACGCGCGCCAAAAACAAACCCCCTCGGCCCCGTTGTTTCGGTACAGCCGAATGAACGGCCTGACAAACCGTGACAACGCCCTGCGCGCGTCACCGAGCGCCGGCCGTGCTTGCGTTTACGTTTATCGTTTCGGAACACGGCCGGCGCGCGCGGCCGTTCTCCGGTGACGAACGGGAAGTAATGCACCCCTCGGCCGGTGAGTACGAGAGCGGCATCGGTTCCGAAAAATATGCGAATACCCGCCCGCCAGAACGACATCCGGACATTCCCCAGGGGAACGCGCGGGGAAAATTTCGGGAAAAATTGTTTTGTTACTTTGTGTCATTTATCGGAGCGATATTTGATTTACCGCGCGCGCGGCTTCCGCCGGCCCCGGCGGATCTACGTTTCGGAAATACATTTTGCCGGGTTTCGATGCGTGCCTTGTGTTTTCAAGTCGTTAATATCGAAACAATCCGCACGCGTAACTGCCGTCCGCGCGACGCCGCCGCTTGTATTTATTTAATAGACATTTATTGGGGATGAATCGTTAACGCGCCCGCGCCGACCAACGAGGGAGCGGGCGAGCGAGGGGGGGCGGTTTTCGCCCCGGTGTTTTTCCGCCGTAATATTTGATTGTCCGCGGGATCGCAAACGTAAAATTATTACGTTATCGTGCAACGGCGCTCCAACGGCTAAATATGAAAACTTCTCGCGCAACAAATCCCCGTCGTGCATGTAGGGGGTAGCGCATTCTCGTCTCGCCGTTGTTGTTATATTGTCATTGCTGTGATTGTTGTCGCTGCCGTTACTGAAATTCCACACGTAGGAAATTCTACGCGCATATGCCGAAAGTGCGAAACATCGAGTTAACCAATCCGACTCGGCGTTTGCAGAATCAGAATCGCGAAACGTTTATACGAGTCAACAAAGCGTCGCTCAGGCAGGTGTCGCGATAGAGGACATTACGCGCTCTCTGTTAAAAGCGTGCTCATGATGAAATATAAAGCTCGATACCGCGCGCATCTCGCCATGTTTAACATATTTCACTGTGTGCCGTCGGTGGCCGTGTGTGCTCGCGCGAGTCGAGCTTGCGTCGTACATTGTGCTTCGTGATTTTCGCAATTACGCGCGCATTTAAAAGGACCGGACGTCGACTGTCCGAAACGATCGTGCCGTCGAAGACAACGAACGTGGATGGGTCGGTGAACAAAAAGATAGGGGGAAAAAAAAGAGAGGAAATAAAAAAAGACGGCCGACCTATTATTCCACAATGGCGTGCCCGAAGTCGTGATGGCACTCGCTCCCAATATCTACTTGCAATTCTCGAGCCATCCAAGTACTCGGATGCTCGCCGGAGAAGTACAGATACCGCCCTTCCAGCATATCGACATTGTCGCCAGTCTGGCAGGAATTCAGACGAGTATCGGACAAGCAACGATCCAGAAAAAGAACGGAAATCTCGTTCGGTCGCGTTACCGCACGATCGGATCGTTCGGCGCGATAGAAACCGCGTGTAACGACTTTGTGTCGAAAGCGTAGATATCGCTGAAAGAATTACCGATGACGGGAGCGGCATGAAAATCGCGGAATTTATAATAAATTCGATCAGTAACCGCGCGGAAATTAACTAACTCGAACGTAAAATTCACAAATTCAATTCGTAATTATACGTACGACAAATTTCGATAATGGCAGTTTGACATTATGACAATGTTACAACACTGGTGTCAAGCTTTACGTTCAACACGCGTATTTTCCGCTCCTACCTTTTCTTATTTTCGTTTATTATCTGAAAGCGTTCCGTTAATTTCTGACGTTGCTCTTCATTTATGTTGCGCTTGCGATTTATTGTAATTTGTACCAAACTTATGCGATCACTGAAAAAGATCCGAACTTGAAGACCGAAACGTACATGTGATGATGAAGAAAAAGAAGCAGCTTCTAAAGATAAAGCTGTTCATATAATACAACTGAAATTCAGTTAATTTAGCCAATTCCCTTCGTTGCTGTACCTGCTTTTAGCTTCCACAGGCAAAAAGCAGATCTGGTAACGAAATTTCAATTGTATCACGTGTGCAGCTAATTTCTTTTTTTCCAGTGATTATACATTTTAAGTTAACTTAATTTCGTCCTCGTTTTTTCTTTTTATTTACGCACTGACTCCGCGAGATAAACCTTGGTTAATTTAACAAGATACCATTTGCAGATATCAATTGCAGATATGGGACACCAAATGATCCCGTGGTGGGAATAAATAATTTATACTTTTAATTTGCCGCTCCAACAAATACTTCCGTACTGGCTTGGTAATAATTTGTTAAAATAACGAATGAGATAAATGAATAGAAACACTTCTCGATCAATTTTCCTAACAGATCATGAAACAACAAAAAGTCAAGTTATTCTCCGAGCTATTTCCCTAACAGACCTTCGAGTAACGAAAGAACTTTTGTTCTGGTAGCCAAGATACTTTCCTCAGTGTACTCGCATTGCCAATATCTTTTTTTTTTCCTATTTTCTTGTACGATCGAAAATCTTGGAGTCTTGGCCGTTTTCTCACTCTTCATTTTATTCGGATTATTTGAATTCCGAAAGTCGCAGGGGAAACAAACACTGTCCGTCGTCCTTCTATATCACGGCAATCAGGAAACATGCCAGGGGTTTTTTTCCTTTTTTCACCAGAGAACGATTATTCGAGAAACATACCCACGCCCGCTCGATATCGCGCACGTACTTATCCGGTGGCGGAGAACTCCGGTCCGGTGCATTTTTTTTTAATGCACGCGTGCAGCCTCGCAGCCGTCCGACGGAATTGATATCTCGCGCGCGACGCCGTTACCACCCCCGGATATTGGTAACCTGCGAATGATCGATTCATACGCCAGGAACATTCGGTATCTCGCCGAGGAC